GGGAAAAGTGTTGCAAGTAACAAATTTCCTACTCCCTGTCCACTAATAACTGAATTATTCATGGAGATTTCAGTAAACACATCTCTTTTTCCAAAGCTTCAGTCACTCTGACATATCCAGAGGCAAATGCTTCCTATGGGGAGAAGTATGGATTTCATGGTCCTTTAAGCGTGTTTAGGCTTTCAAACAAAGCCCTTTATTGTTACCTTCTCAGTTCAGTCTCATAATTGACTGTTTGGAAAATTGGAAGGTCCTCTTGATGGGGTCTTTTGACAAGATTACCAATCTCTTTACAGAAGTGACCTCATAAAAAGGGTTGCAGGGATTTTATTTCACAAGCAGCCTGTGTTGTATCCACAGAATAAACAAGAAATAGTAGACTTCTTTTTTTTTTATTTAGAAACCATGGCCTTATGCACTGGAGGCCTTCCTCTACACACAGGTGTAAAGAAAAGAGCCATCACGCAGGCTCACTTCTTCATGCTCTTCACTAGCTAATCCTCAAGTAAAATAACCATAGAAAATATTATTTTGCAAAAACTATGGACAAAAACTGTCTGTAGGGGTTGGGGTGGGAAACATGCATCTTCAGCTACCTATCTTGCCAGCCTGTCAGAGATATGTGATGGTATTATAGAACATCACGCTAGTGTTTATGCTTCCCAGAAGTAGCACATGTAGGAATGATGGAGTCTGTTGCTGCTCCTAATCTTTCTTTAGCCTGATATTCCAGTAGCTTGTAACTTTTACTGTCTTTTCATGTATGCAAAATGTATAATGATGCTAGGTTTGACTATTACACTTCCACCTCACTTGAGACAAATGTAAATGATTTTGCAAAACAGGGGAGATCTAAAGAAGGAAACCTTTGTGGCCAAAAGCATATCTAAAAACTCTCTCTATGTGGTTGGTCTGATAAAATATATTACTCTATATCCTTGCCTCTTACATATTTCCTGGACCATCATGGCAAGATCATCACAGTAAGGAGCATAGGCATTCTTATGTTGGATATATTTTTTGAAAGAGCCCAAGTAATTTAGGAGTCTCAGTTCCATTTTCTAATGTGGCATGGAAATCTAAGCATAATATTTTCAAAAATGCAACGTAATCTAGGTAAAAAATATATTAGGTTTTTAAATGCCTGTATCTTACTGATCTTTATGAGATGTGGTATAGGTTTTTCAAAAGTTTCTGAGTAACTTCTGAAAATAGGACTTAAAATGCTTTTGAAAATTTTAGACATTATCTACATTCTGGTTGAGAAGTGTGAAAAATATACTTCAAGAAATATAATGGAAACACTATTTTGTTGCTGCTGTTCCACCCTGTGACAGCATTTTGAAATGATAGGATATTTAGTTTTAGCATAATATAAATCACCCACAGCTATTTTGTATTAATGTCTCAAATGTCTAAGTGTTTCATAATAAATTCAGTGGAAAAATACAATGGAGATATCAATTAAATTAACATATATTTCAACATATTAGAATATTTAATAAAATTAAGTATCTATTAATGATGAAATATCATTGTTAAAAAATATTTTGGAATGGCATGTTGCCTTGCTAAAAAACTCACAATAAAATCCTTCACATATAGTGTGAAAAAGGAAGAGATCTAGGGCTTAATATGGAATCTCTCTGCTTCATATCTTAAGAGTGTCACTGAATATTTTAGGATGCTTTAAAACAACATTTTCTGGAAGGTTTTAATTACTTGGTATAAAATGAAATAATTTCCAGTATACACCAGTAATATACAACATCTGCCACATCAGTCTATCAGTGGAGATGCTATCATTCCACAGGGAGTTCTGAGAGGCACTGTATTTCCCGAAATGCACAGTTCAACCAGGGGAGTGGGAGGGTGGAGGGCAGTGATGTTCAATGATTATAGCTCCCTTGGGCTACTTTGACTTGTATTTGGAGCCCAACACAATGTTGACCAGCTCCAGAATGGAGTGTCACAAAACTGCTCGAGGACTGGACAAACCAAAGGTTTCCCACCACATATGTTGTAAGGGTAAGTCCTTGCTTTTTTAAAAACATTAGGATACCTCACTGATGGATGTCAGGAGAAATAAAATTAGACAACTTAATGCTTTCAAGAAAATGAAGACATTTAAATAGCATAAAAAGAATCCCTTGGTTTCTTTCTTTTAACTTCAAATTGGCTTGGGTCAGGGCGAGCTTTTGTTGAGAAAACTGCTTTTGAAAAGTTTGGTCCTGCACTGAAAACCTCCAAAACAAAACTTTCAGCTCAATATAATTTTCCCAGCTCATCTGAACTACCTGAAAAGCTACCAACTCCCTAAATCTTAACAGCAGCAGCATTACCAGTCACCAGAGGTCAATAATCTTATACCTTTTGGGACAGCTGCCAAAACTCAGAGTTTCCTAAAAATCCTCTTGGTGGTGGTCATGACAGGTCTGACTCTCTGTGGAACAGGAATGAGTTGCTGGCTGACCAAAAACCTGAGCTGTCAGCGATCTGCACTGAATCTTACCAGGCTTAGAAGCATGCAGAAAAAAAACAAAGGTACCTTTAATTTGTTCTCTACCTGCCTCCATGTCAAAATTCACTTCAGATGAGCTTTGAGAGCATGTACTGTGATTCTGAGAAAGGTAATGTTGCTAGCATCCACATTATATTCCACAGTAAATATAAAGAAGGAATAAGGAAAAGCATACCTTACAGGCTAGGCCTTTAGGGGTCATCTTCTCCTTCTTACCCACCTGTACTTTAACTCAAAATATCAATCCCTCAAACATCCAAAATGGTCTGTGAGGTTACTATGGATGTAGACCAAAGGGTAACTCAGGCAAAATTCCCAAAGGGCAAAATTTAATTTAAGAAGGATCAGATTATGGGATTTGGTTTATATACAGCCTAGATAATCACACACAAATTCAACGAGGTCATATGTATGCAGAGAAATGAACAAGTTGTTTTCCTAAAAACAACTATGAAAAATACATTTATACATACATGTAAATTTTGTATGTAGAGACGGACATATCTATACATGAATAGAACGAAAGTAGATTAGATACAAGGATAGATGGATCAAACACTAACAGAACCACAACAAAATTTGACATCATAGATAAATATTAAACTTTCATCTGTACCTGGTATTTAATATTTTCCATTTCTCTCTGAAAAACTTCCAGGCAAGATCCCTGCCATGTGGATTTCGAGCAACATGGATTATGACATCAATTGCATCCTGATCCAGGACAACTTCTGAATTGAGGGACAGATTCAGAAGCCTTTAACGGTGAGATTTGATGGGAGAGGGAGGGAGGAACACACCATGCTTAGTTTTCATCAGTAAGAAACAAATCACATCATCTAACAATGACACCTCTTAGGATCATGTTTAAGATCAGAAATTACTGAAAAGTGTATTTAAATACCCAGAAGAGTGCTGATTTTATATCCAAGATTCCAAGGTTAGTCATATTTATGAATCAGAAAACCCCCTCGAGTCATGCAACTGCAGATCTTTAGAAGCAGAAAGGATTTAAGCATAACTAGAAGCATGTGGAAAGCTTTCAATAAAAGTTAAGATTCAAAATAATTTTGGTTTCATGTATGTCTTTATCTACTCTACAATAGACCCAATGATCAAAACCTTTGTAGAAGCACTAAGAAAATCAAATCAACAACAACAAATCACACTCTAATTGTGGTTTGGAAATGAAATCATATGCAAAGAATACATTTTCTTGGGCCTCAATACAAAATGATGTCATGCTACAATGAGAAAGTGAGTGTATACCTCAAAAACAATTTATATTTACATATTACTGCTGAGGAGAGCTAGCTATATCATTACTGTAACTATAATTCATGGAAACCCCCAAACATGTAACTATAATATTCTACCTGTTTAATAAGTTTCTGTCATCACTGCAAGTTAAGGCTTCCAACAGTATTTTCTTCTCAGATACTGCTGTGGTAGAGTGGAATTTCATCCAAATGAACTCCCATACATCTTCATCCATCAATGAAACTCCTGTACAGTAGACAATGTCTCTGACGTTAAGTGGGATTCTAAAAAAGCAACCCATAACAACACTGCGTTAATAAGGAATTTAAAAGCAACTAATACAGAAATGGGACATTGCTACATTCATTCTTGTAGGACTGCACGCAGTATAACAGTTATACATTTTAAGTGAATTACATGTATATCAAAATATTTTTCCATTCACTAGTAATTTCCAAAACTGAATTCTAAACTGATAGATTTCTGGTAGGCATAACATACGAATGGAACTGCTTTCCTGACCCTGTCAGTGTCAACTCCAGAGGTATATACATTTTAGTTCCCTTCCACAAATACACATATATCCCAAAGAATATGTACATGAGCAGTCTAAATAAACAGACACATATCTACCTTGGCTTTTCCATAAATATCTACCTAATGCTCTTGTACTCTGATTTGAGATAGTGAGCTTTTTTCAGGGCAGGATCTCTACCTTTGTTGGTCCTTTATAATTAAGTAGATAATAATGGTGTGAAGTGGTC